CTTGTAACTTTTATTGGTTTGGGCCTAAGCTGCTTAATATGGTGTATATATAAAACTTTCATATTTTTGGTTTGAGCTCTTAATTTTTGTGCACGTTAATGTAGTATTTATTTAAGTTCTCACTTTTTCTAAGTTGATACTTTGTTTTCTGATAATGCCAAGCGAAAAAAGTTAAGGAAGTGAACATATTTTGATCAACGAACATGGTCCCTACATTCTAATTATATTGTTGACTGTTGTGCCTGTGCTCAAAGGATGTTTGCAGGAAAGTGTTGGTGATTAATCTAATTATACTTTATTTTATCTTTAGGGTTGCAATGGATAGATTGAAATAAAGTGGTGGTAGTTAATCAGATTCTTATGTTAAATTTGCACATAGCTTTGTCATCATCAAAAAGAGGTAATTTATTGAACTGAACTTTAATATTTTGATGATTAGCAACCGATTTTCAAAGAACCAAACCAGGTCTCTTGAAGATATTTATTGTAGTAATAAACAGGGATGCATCAAGCAGAGATCAAAAGAACCAGGTTGTTCGAGTACGATGATCAAGAGCTACGAAACGATTCCTGATGTAAGTTAAAGTTCTTGAAGAGTTTATTCCGTGAGCTGCAGGCATTGTATCGAGGGGAGGAATTCATGGTCAATAAAGGTTCATTAATTTTTGTTTTATATAAAAGGAAATGAGTATAAAAATTAGCGATATTTAAGGAAACTAAATCCTAAAAGGATTATTTTCCTGTAACCGTAACATTCTAGGTTTTGGAGCAAAAATTGAAGAAGGTTTCGGCCAACCTCACTCTTATATACTCTTATGTTATTGTGACGATAGGTCATTTTGAGTACTAGCCTTTATTTCTGTGTTACGAGATCTCTCATAACTTAATTTGGTGGTTTATTACTTGCGTGCATAGTCCGCGTCGATTTCCATATAGGTTATGTGTGAAATTTCAAAAAATAAATATGATTTTAACTTAAACTAAGGTTTGAGTTGACCACGATTAACGTTTTTGGTAAACGATCCCGGTTTGATATTTTGACAATTCCGTTAGGTTCGTATGATATTTTTGAACTTGTACTTATATTTCGTTGGGGTGCCGGGAGAACCGAGGGCTTTTCAGTGCATAATGTGAATGTTGACAAAAATTGGGTTTCAAAGTTTAAATTTTAAGTTTTGATGATCGATTCTTGATATTTGATGTTATTTTGATGATTTGTGGTAGCAGATGAGTTTGTATTATGTTATTACACTTATGTGCATATTCGGATTGGAGCCCGAGGGGCTCGGATAAGTTTGGGATAAATTTTGGTTGATGTTGGAACTACTGAGGCATAGCAGTTGCTGGTGTGAACTTGCAAATATGATGACCTGATCGTAATTGTGAGCCTTGCATTTACGATGTCAGGCTCGCAAATGCGGGCCCGGAGTTGACTTTTATTGACATTTTCCAATATGATCGAAATTGAACCTTTTTTATTTGTGGGTATTTTTTAAAGTTTATTTTGAATTGTTCGAACGATAATTGGGTGGATTCGATTGGTTTGGAGTCTTATTCGAAATGAAAAGCCACGGTAAATTGTTGATTTTATTGCGGAAGGAGGTAAGTGCCGTGGTTAACCTTGAATTGAGGGAATTAAGGTAGAATCAAGTCTATTTGCTACGTGAACTATGTGTTGGGGGCGGCGTATATGCGAAGTGATGAGTGTATATGAGTTGGCCATGGGATAAGCATCTGGGTGGAATTTGCCTTATTTGTACCATGTTGTTTCATTTACTATACCTTTCATGCCTTAAATAAATTGTTTATTCTTCGACTATTCGCTTTCATGTTTATTTCTTATGTTGAAATTATTGTGATATTGGATGTTGAGTTCGCGGAAATTGTTGATTAGTTGTCGGTACCAATCATTGAAAGTATGATGAGTTGTATTCTAACACTATTGTTGAAGGTGAAATTTTCTTTCCACCTTGCTTGATATTTGTGTTGTTGTTGTTGTTGCTTGGTAAGAAGAGTGAAGAGAGCAAAGGGTGTTGTTGTGCCTCATTTGCATATTGATATCATTGATTGAGTGAATGTGAGGATAAAAGCACGAAGTCGTGCACATGCTTATATATCATGAGAGGTTACAGCACGAAGGATGATATTGTGCATATGCATTTTTATTATGATAATGTAAGGATGAGAGTAAAAGCACGAAGGGCAATGTCGTGCACTTGCATTTATCAGATATGTTTAGGAGAGAGTAAAAGCACAGAGGTCGATGCCATACGAGTTTGTTAAATTCGTTTTTTACTTGATATTTGATAATGTAAATTTCGACTTGGTGGTTTCGTTGCCCATTTTGGAAAGAAGTTTACTTCATGATTCTTATTTACTGTTCCATCTATTGTCCCCTGTACTTGCCCCTATCCTGATGATTCATGTAACTCTTTACTTATTATTCCTTTATATATATATATATATATATATATATATATATATATATATATATATATATATATATATATATATATATATATATATATTTTAGGTGTACCTTATT